CAACTTGGCATTTCCTTACTATCTGCTAATATTGTATATGTATGTTATGAAATTGATAGTTTATGTTATTGCAGCCAATTATTCAATAACATTTTTAGGCAAAGCCATCTTTTCGGCATTAAAAATGATGTTTGAATGAAATTGTGTCTTATCATAGTTTGAGACAAAACAACACCAAAACCAACCTGTGAAGAGGCAGAAGAACCAGCAGTGTTGGTTTTGCCGACCCCTAACTACAAGTTCCTCTTCTCTCAGCGCTCACTCCTCCTCCTCTCTCATGCCCTGTCCTGCGGTGAATGAGGTGCCAGGTAGCCCTGCCTGCTAACCAGCTTATCGGTTCCACTGTGATCTAAGGTGACGCAGATCTCTTGCTCTCACTTAGACAACCAAGGTGTTTTGCCGTTTTCCCAGAACTGCATGTCAGTCTGAGGGTCTTCAGACTTATACAGCAGGGTTTGCAAACCTCCTTGACTTTTACTCAAAGAAAAACAGAATGTACTTCTTCAGCCTAATGTACAGAGAAGAAAGATAAAGGTCTCGTGGTCCACCCGTCCAGGATGGTGACTCTTCCACAGAGTCGTCTTCCGACTTATTGATCAGGAGCATTTACGTTGTCTTAGATGTGCGTAGTGGGGCAGGTACTTGCTGCTCTGCAGAGAGAGCATTCATGCACTGTTTTACGCCTGTTATAAGAATACCACAAATGCGCCCTTTTCTCTAACTTTCACGTCCCTTGGTTCCAAATGCAATTCAATTTTAGGTCCCATACTCCAGTGTTTTAAAATAATCTACAGGATTAAAAAAAACCACTCTCATTTTTTCCCTTGGTATTTCTTTAGATTTTAAAACTTCATTTAAAAAAAGTCACCTTGTTTTAGAAAAACTCAGCCACAAACCTACCATTCCTATATGGAAAAACAAAATTAATTTGAAACACTGAAAGAGATGAAGGTATATTATAGAAAAGGGCTATAGAATCTTTTCATATTAAATAGTTATTAAACCTGGCAAGAGGATGATAGTTAGCTTTTGTGTCATCTTTGCTGGGCCAAGATCCTCAGTTTGGCAGTTGGAACCTCCCCGATGATCTGATAAAAAATAATGTGATAAAGTCTATGCTGGGCCAAACAGTTGTGAGAAGATTAGGGTGGATGATTACTCCCTTAAACAGATCACAGTCCTAATATAAGGAAACCGCCTCAGGGGAGTAGCCTATGCCTACACCTATTTAAATGGCTGCTGTGAGGACGCTAACTCCCTTCCTGCTGGTCCTAACCCTGCATCTGGCTCATTGACTTGCCATATTGCCTTCCGACCTTGAATTTACCAGACTGCTGTCACGAGCCTGACTTGCTGACCTCAAATGCATCTGCTTCTGCTTCCACCAGCCTTTGAGTTTTCTGCTTCCTCGTTCCCCTTCCTGCTTCCTGGTTTGCCAGTCCTGGCAGCTATGTGAGTCAGAAAAAGTGTCCAGCTTAATACCTGACCCACGGGCTTGAATCAGACTGGACTTAACCATTTCTACAACTGTGTGAGCTACTTTCTTGATATAAAATCATTTTTCTATCTATATAACCACTGATATAGCCTCCCTAGGTAAGTCAGTCAAATGCATCTTAGTAGCTGAGAGGCATTTTTCCTAACAATAGAGACTACCCTCTGTCTACCACGTGATTTATATGGTGAACTGGTCCATCATTTTTCAGTTCTAGTTTAATAACTTCTTCTTGCCATGGTAAATTTCAGAAATGGAATCTTTTCTAGAAAGAAGAGCAAGTTAAACAAATATCAAGGAGCTTGCGTGAAGAAATCATCATCACGAGTGGTGTGACGAAACGCTCACGGCATCGAGTTGGTTCCGACTGAGTTGGTCCTTCAGTGGAGCAGGTAGCCTCCCACTGCTCCCATGGAGCGCCTGGTGGGCTTGAAGTTAGCAAACCAATAGCTAACCTATATGACCACTAGCCCAAAGAGATTTATTAACTAATTACTGTGACTTACACTCCTGCCACAATCTGGATTTTAAGTGAAACAAATATCTGCCACTATGCTCTAGAGCAGTGTTTCCCAAAGTTGAATAATCTTCAGGGGGAGGGGACAGGGGAAGGCCTGCAGAAGCAGATACCTACCCTTTACCCTGGATTATGGGGTATGGTACAAAAGTTTTTAATTGCCAAGAGGGTGCTGAGTCATGGTTTTTTTTTTGTTTTTTTTTTTAATGGGGCAATAGGTCAAATAAGTCTGGGAAATTATGTCCTAGAGTATACTGAATGGTGTACAATGGGCAGCTCATGTGAAATAGAATTTATTAAAAATAATCTATAGGATTTGTATTTAAAATGCCACGGAAAAAACAACTTTACCGAGTATTTTGAGATAGCTAAGTTGATCGCATGAAGGATTTGGAACATTTTATTATTCTAATTCTCCCTTCTTGTTCTTCAGTTTTCTTTTGGTAGGAGAGAGCTTCAGAATGAATTCCACTTGTGCATGCCAGTGTGGTAAGCAACTGTTGTTGGCTGCTGTGGTGTCTCCTCACACTCACCCTATGCAACCAAGGAGAGCTTCCCTCCAGGGTTTTCTAGAGTGCCGTGTCTTTCTCCCATGAAGCCACTGGATGGATTTGAACTGCCCACTTACCTGTAAGCAGCACACTTAATCCCAGAGTCCCTGATGAACTACATCGAAGTTTTATCACTGAGGTGTTCTTTACATAAAAACATCTAGGTCCATAGCATCTGTAACCTTATCTAACACATAACATTTAAAGTCTCAGCTTTCCCAATGCAATTCTTACTGTTCCTATGGTCTGGACGTTTCAAGAACCACAATAATGACCAGTCCTTGGCTTGCAGTCATTCGCGCTGTGCCCTTCCAGAAATGCAGCCATTCGGAGGCAGCTCCAAATGATTATGAACCAGAGCCCTGAGTGGTGTCAGAGAGGGATAAAGTAAACCTTTCACAATCTCTCTCTGTGTCAAGTGTGTTAACAACTGGATGAAAAAATCATCCGGGTATTGAATTACAGGGCAAAGGCTAGAGAGAGAATGGTAATTCCAACCCAGGATGTTATTAAACACTCTGTGAACTGGGGTTAGGATTGTGAAAAGATAGCTTTCTCAGGTGAAAGAAAATCTGATGGTAGGGAGGATAGATGCTATCTTCCTGAGAACCACTTGACCTGATCACAGTAATTATCTGACATCCTGAAAACAGAATAAAGGAATCTATTAAGTAAAGGACACTATCAGAAGCTAGACAGTGTATCACTCACCATGTGGGATGCTGGGGTGAGAACTGAATGAAGGACTCAGTTTCTTTGCATTTTTGTATAATCCAAAAACTTAGTTGTATCTTAGTCAATGCAGCACAGTCAAAAACGACTGAATAAGATAAATGAAGTTCTGATACATGTTACAACAAAGATGAGCCTTGGAAATATGAGGGGATACCCACAAAAACACAAAAACCAAAATGGAAAATAGCTCCACTGGATGGAATGGAACTTTCCTAGTATGCATTTTTCCCTGATAGGTGAGCATAAAGCAACTCACTCTGAGTTGGTGCACCCAGTGGCATCACCTGGGAAGGTTCTCTCTAATCACAGGGAATTTTTTAGTAAAAGCAGTTTTGTGCAAACCTCATTTTTTATAATAGCTGATATAAGAGAACAATGTGTGGCTGTGAAATTTTGTTTCCTGCTTGGAAAAAATGCCGCAGAAACTGCTGTGATGTGGAACACACCTTACAAGGGAAAAACTCAAGTGTACAAGTAGTTTTCTTGTTTCAAAAAAGGTGAAATGTTGATTCATGACAAGCCTCATTCTGGACATCTGTCAACTTCCCAAACTAACAAATATGTCAACAAAATTTGTGCACTTGGGCTCAAACTGTGACAATGGGCCATTGAAGAGATGGGGAAGTTATCTGGACTATCTTGGTGCTCGGTTCAGTGAATTTTAATGGAAGATTTGGGAAAGTGAAGGCTTGCTGTGAAATTTGTGCCTTGGGTTCTCATTGACCAGGAAAAAGAGTGTCAAGTGGAAACATGCTGTGCTTTGAAAGAACAGCTCTGAAACAACCCATACTTTTTTTCCAAGGTCATTACTGGTGAGGAGACGTGGTGCTATTCTTACAACCCTGAAAGCAAACATCAATCAAGCCAGTGGAAGGCACCATCAGTACCTCGCCCCCCCCAAAAGCTTATCAAGTGAAATCAAAGATCAAAGTGATGTTCATTTATTTTTTTGATGTGAGGGGGATAGTGCATTTGTAGTTTATTCCCCCAGGTCAGACTGTTAATCAAGCTTTCTGAAAAGATTGTGAAACAGTGTGTGTCAAAAAAGGCTTGATTTGTGGCAGATGGGGGACTGGTTTTGCCACCCTGACAATGCATCTGTTCACAAAGCCTTCTCAGTGTACCAGTTTTTGGCAAAAAACAGCATGTCTCTCTTGCCCCCATGCACCTTACTCACCTAACCTCATGCTGTGTGACTTCTTTTTGTTTCCAAGAAAGAACAGGGACATGAAAAGACAGTGATTTGACAACGTGGACGAAGTGAAGGGAAAAAAACCGGGGAGGTGCTGTCAGTCATCCAAACAGGTGAGTTTGAAAAATGTTTCCAAGAATGGAATCGCAGATTTGACAAATGTATTAAGTGTGATGGACAGTACTTTGAAGGTGATAAGGTTGTTTTGTAAAGACTTTCAATACATCACTTTGAAAAAAAAATTCGTTTTTGGGGGGTACCCCCTCATATTATGCTCCATGAAATCAGTCAGGCACAAAAGGGCAAATGCACAATCCCACTCACATGAAATATCTAGACTAGCCAAATGCACGTTGCTGCTGGGTCAATTCCAACTTATGACGGCCCCTATGTGGAGAGGAGAACTCCCATAGGGCTTCCTTTCGGAGGGAAGACAGCCAACTTCTGAAGCACCTCTACTTGGCTTTTGGTAACCCTGCTTTCAGAAAGTGGTCCAGTGCTCAAGCATTTGGGCCATCCAGTTTATTAGGCAGTACTAGAGATCAGTCCCCAGAAAAAACTTCATGCTTGATAAAGTCGAGGGGTACTGAAAAAGAAGACCCTCAACAAGATGGATTGACCCAGTGGCTGACGATGGACGGGGTCAGACATAACCATCGTGAGGGGTGCACAGGCCTGGGAAGTGTTTCATTCTGTTGTACAGAGGCTCTCTATGAGTCGGAACGGCCTCAACGAAGCCTGACCATACACCACAACAGGTGCAGGGAGAGGCAGTAGGGAAGGGAGTTATTGATCAAAGGGCACTGAGTTCCTGTTAAGGGTGATGAAAACATAGGGCTACGGATAGTGCAGATGGCTGTACATCACGGTGAACCTAAATAACATCACTGAACAGTACATGTGAGAATGAGTGAAATGGAAAATGTTTTGTGTTTATATATGTGGGTGTATATATATATATATAATACATATAATCTAACATATTATATGTAGATATACATACACATATACATATAATATATATACATATAATATATATATTCTTGCTATAAGACAGACATATGCCAATGTACATAATAGACACATGTCTGATTTTATAGCATATTAGGTTACATATCACATATGTTATATGTTTTGCTATATAGGTGGCACAAATGTATTATGTTCTATATGATATATGTCTTAGATAGGTATACATATATATCTTATCATATACATGACATGTCTTATTATGGATGTTATATGTGATAAAACATATAAACTCAAATATATATAAGCTTATTATTGTTGTAATCTTTAAAACTAATGAAACTGATATGTTAAAAAATTACTGAATAAGCTACAAGGCACTGGAAAAATTTTTTAAATGACCAAAGCTGGAGAAAATTTTAAAAACATGATCAAAGCATCACACATATTTCCGATGCTCATTTTTGCATTAACGACATTCCTTTAGTAAAATATGCACATTTCTTTAAAATTAGATTCTTATCCTTCTTGTGTAAAGGTTTGGCATTCTCTGAATAGCACACAGACCTGCTTATGGATCTGTAGTGGTTTCTCACTCTGATAGCTCTGTAATATACTAGTTCTGTGCCTTTGAAAGTTACTTAGCCTCTCTGAATTTGTTTCCTCACCAGTACTGGTTGAAGATCATAATAACTTTACAGGGTTATTCTGAGGGCTAAGTACAATGATATCCTCTAGACAACATGGCTTATCAAACATCCTCTGTACACAGATATGTATGTAACTTTCATATGTATATATATATATATACACATATATATACATATAAATACATATATATGATAAAACCCTTTCCTACTGTATACATCCTGGTGGTTATAAATAGCTGCATGAAGTGACTAGACATGAACTTGATATCATAAATCAGAACATTTTTTAACATAACCAGGTCTCATATACTAAAATTTAATATAACCAGGTTTCTAAGTAAATTAGTGAAGACAATGTTGATGAAAAATAATTGGTTATCATACTTATATTTTCTGCTTTCTCAGTTATGTGGCTCATGTTGTCAGGGCTCTACCATCTACCAGCATATTTATCTAAGTAATTAACTATAGCTAAGTATAGTTGCAGATGATTACGAATAGTTATAGACAGCGAAAGGACAAAGGAAGTTTACTGAAAAACAAGCCATCTGTTATCAAGACCCGCTGGCCTTTTCCATATTCCAAAGAGAGTCTTAGACGGGGATGCTCCCGATGATGGCATCCCCCCTCAGTCAACATGTTCATCAGAACCAATCTGGAAGATGGAATCTTCTCCTTTTTAACCCCCAAATAAGTTTTCATGAACGTCAAACTAAACACATCTGTTCTGAATGGAAAAGGCTAGCCCAGGTCAAAAGAAAAAGAGAATGCAATTTTAAAATAATAATAATAACAGTGAAGCTACCTTTTGCCAACAGCCAGGCATGGGCAATCCATCTGGTCCCTGTTTGGAAGAGAAGAAAAGGCATTCCTCAGGCCCCACAGGAGTGATGGTGCTTCATAATACACATGCTCAGAGGCTTAAGCAGTAGTATTCTCTACCTGTTAGGTGATTTAATTCACAGCCATCTCCCCACCACCCCCTCTAATTAGCAACTCTTGAGATCTGACCCAATGTTAGTTCAGGTGAAATGAATTCAGATGTTTTCTAGTGTAAGTATAAAGTTTTTAAATATACATAGAAAAACATCTGCCAGAAAAGCAATCCACAGAGCAGAGTGGTCTACTTGGAATCTGTAAAGCAATTCTGGTATTTCCTAAAACACATCTCACAATTCTCCTTATTCAGTAAATGAAGGCCCCTGCTCCTCCCAGCCACAGCGCACTCTGGTTGGGCGCACGGTAATGGTGACTCATCCCAAGGAACCATTTCTGTCTGGAGTTCACAGCTCCCAACTAGTGACTGTTTTCAACTTTCACTTGCCTTGAGTTAACATAAGGGGCCCCGGTCGGCTATAAGAAAGGCCGATAACCGCAAGGTCAGCAGTTTGAAACCACCAGCCAATGCATCGGAGAAAGAGGAGGCTTTCTGATCTCAGAAAGATTCATGTTTTCTCAGAGACTCACAGTCGTGGTTCTGCACTCTGACCTATTGAGTCACTGTGGGTCAGAATTGGCTCAATGGCAGCGAATGTTTTAGTAGTTTCAGTAGATCCCATCAATGGACGCCATTGACTATAAAGACAGGCAGCCCACCTATACTTTTATAGTGAAATGCTAACCAAGGCATTCAATAGTTTTTCTATCACAATACTTCACAAGTCAGTAAACAATTTGTGAACATCTAAGGGGGCCCTCAACGTTGCAAAGTGCAAACATTCTTCAGATACAAATGACATAAACAAGGCAGGGGGAGCTGGTATGATACGAAGGCATGCTTGTGTTCCGCTGCACTAAGACAAGTATAAAATACGATTTATCACCAATACCAAGCAAATGAAAGAAGGTTGAACAGAGCATACAATCAGATTTTCTAACCAATAATTATTGTATAAATACCATCCCCTACAAAGACAATCTCTTAAAAGACTTGAGAAGTTTAAATTTATCCTAAAAAAACTCATGCTTAGAATTGAAGCAGAATATTCAGGCAGTCCCCGGATTATGGACAAGTTTTGTTCAGAACTCTGTTTTTAAGTCAAATTTATGTGTATGCTGGGACATTTAGATAGAATTTGGATCTAACATTAGTTAGTCAAAGGTTTGTCTTAGTATATAGTAGAAAAAGGGGCTAAAAATTTTAAAGTAAAATGGAAGTCAAAGAATACAATTTTCCCCAGACTTTTTGAAGCTTCCTGATAGGGTCTTTCTATGCATTAAAAACATTACTTTTAAATACACTAAAACATCGTTAATATATTAATACAGTAATAATAAGAATGTTTTGATGCATGTTGCAAAGCAGCACCTGTTTGTTCCTGAAAATCATTGTCGGCACCTATATTTTTTACATAATAGCTTTTGCAGGTGGTGTCACAGTGGGTTAAGCACTGGGTGACTAACCATACAGCTGGTCAGAGTTCAGGCCCACCATTTGATCCACAGGAGAAAGAGGAGGCTGTGTGCTCTTGCCCCATCAGGTCTAGGAAACCCCGTGGAGCAGTTCCGCTCTGCCCTAGAGAGTTGCTGTGAGCAGAGGGTGAGTGAGTGAGTGAGAGAGAGCCTTTATGGCGTTGATTACTAACTATTATTAAGTCAGGCATTTGCAACCCGGGGACTGCCTGTCAGAACATGCAGACAAGAGATAACCATCAACTCCACCCTGAAAGTGTTTCCCCCCACCCCTCCCCAAATACCTCAGAAAACATGAATATACTTTCCTTTTCAATGTTCACACGCAACTAAACAAAAACCCTCTGAAGAAACTTGGTAAAATATCAGGGGGAAAATATGGGTAATGCCAGATTGGTACAAGGAGAAGGATCCGGGTAGAATTTTAGAGTTTAGTATAAGGAGGATCTTGAGATCATGCCAATGGAGGTAGGGGGAGATCTGTCTACTTCAGGAAAGTGAGTTTCAAAAGGAGAGACCATTAAGTGGAAAATGTTATGTGGCAAAGAAGAGGGTTTGGGCTGCAGACTATTATCTGTGGAAGCTCGGGGTCCTTTGGTTCCCTTCTGTAAGGTCTTTAACAGCATTCTCTTGAGTTGGTGAATGCCTAGCCACAGGAGCTTAAGTCTGTAAGTTTGGTCTTGTCTATAGCCTAACAGAAATTTAGTGAAAGAAACCAGGAGTTCTTTATTTTTTTGTAGAGAGAGAAGTAGGGGCGGTGGGGGTAGGGGTAGGTGGACAAAAAGAGCTACACTTATGGGCGGAAATAAAATGGAAGGTCTAGTAGTGCCTTTACATAGAGAATCTTAATGTAACTTTGAATGCACTCTTTAAACACATACTGACTAAATTCAAAAGGCAAAGAACACAGGTCGGTCAGGCCAGATCGGTGGTGAGGACAATGTCAAGAGGTTAGGTTGCATTCACAGAGAGACACCCGCGCTTGCTCGCTTCATGTTGCAAAAACATTGCTGAAGGAGCTCGTTCATGCGCATGCACTGGAGTAAGTATGTCATGTAAAGCTCGCTGCATAAAGCACCACTTTACAGTGACAGTGATGAATATATAATAAACACAGGACTCGCATGCAGGGTGGTAGGAAAGAGAAATACTGTACCAATTGGCAAGGGGCATCCAGCCCATCCAGGCCAGGCTGGCCTGGCTCCCCTTTTTCCCCCTTAACGCCACGGAATCCCTGTTTGTAAAGATTAACTCATAACGTTACTAACATGAGAAATCACTGAAACACAGATTCTGCTGTAGGAAGTAACCATTAGAACAAGACGGGAGAAGAGCAGCCCTGCAGGGACCAGCAACCTCTGCAGAAGGACGGGAGTCCACGGAGCCAGTCGGGCACGCCTGGCCTAAGGGCTTGTGGTGAAGTGTGTTGGACAGTGCTGGTTCCTCTTCATATCTCATATTCAGGTTCTGCTTGCACATCAATAAACACTTGAGACGTAAGAAACCGGGCAGGGCTGGCGGCCAGGTACAAGGTGAGGAATATCCCAGGCTACTGAAGACACGGTATTTCCAGGGGGCTTCACATAGATAGTAAAGGACCTCAAAGAGGAGACCTGACTGTGTGGTCCCCACAGGGTGCTCTTCTCCCATCTTCTCCCCTTACACTGGACACCCAGAGCCAAGAGTTCCACAAGTCAGACATACCAACGGGCAAGGCGCATCTAATCCAGGGGCACCCTGTTCTCCTTTCTCCCCTTTGGGGCCCTTTTTGCCTTTCTTTCCCTTTTCCCCCTGTGGATACAAGGGTTTAAATAAAAGACAGGTTTTATTCAAGGGGAAAATAGGACCGTGCTTCAAAAGTTGGTGTCGCCTGTCCAATTCTGGAAGGTCATTTACCACTGTTTTCTTGTTTAGGTGAGGCATGATAGTATGCAAAATATGAGCTACCCTTTCAGAGTGACACGTGCATGGATGGATCTTGGGCAGCGAAATGTGAGTTGAATTTTAGATATCCTGCATGATGACAGGTGGGCGCATTAGAACAGAAGGGCTGTATCGAGACCACAACGCTGCAGTCACTGGTGAACGAGGCGTTTCTGCTGCCAACCAGGATAGGATGACAGATACTAATTGCATTAGCGACGCTCAAAGGATTAATGGCTATTTCACCTGATTTCCAGTACCTGCTAGCTTGCTTAAAAAAAAAAATGTTATTCTCTTTCCCAGTCCTGTAAAAGATGAGAGCTAATTTGAGCCAGAGGACAGGAAAGAATAGTAACAGCTTCTCTCTTTTCAAAATATATCTCATTTATAAAATGGTCTATAGTTCATATTTATATATATATATATATCCACCTCATTAAAAAAGTGTTTCCGTTCCTTTGAACATTCTATTTTGGGAAACTGAAAGCAAACAATTTCCTTTAAGCCAGGTAAACAAATTAAGAAAATGCAAACAAGTAGTGTCTTAAACTTCTCAGCAGTGGGAGCTGGAGAAGGAGCCTTCTTGGCAAGCCCAGGAATCCTCTCGTTCACGCTCTTACAGACATCACCGCAGGTGATCCCAGTGGTAAATGAGTTTCCAGCCTACCATAACGTGACAAGAGCAAAAGGGATCAATTCTGCTCGAGAGAGGAAAAGCAGTTTGGAGGCAGTCGGGCTAATACTAAGGAGGGTGTGGGCAGGGTAATTATAGAGTGGGAATGTAGCCATGGAAATTAGTACTGAGAAATCGAGGTATGGGTGTGGGGCGTCTGCATGGATCTCAGCGATGGCGGGATGAAGGAAAGGAGGCAAAAGGAGGAGAAGGCAGGAATGCACCTAGATGGTTCCACATTATCCAAAATATCTCAACAAATGCAGAGACAGACAGGGGAGTTGGTGCCAAACGGAATACAAGGCATTACGGGATACACATTTAAATGAGTGTACTCCATGGGCAATCAGGGTGAGAGTTCCAATACAGCTTAAGTAGTTTCTGAAGTAAAACAACATGATTAGCCAAAGATGCAAGGTCAGATGTAGCAGACAGTGTATGTGATTTCTAGTCACACGAAGGCATTCATTCTGACGGAAAGAGTGGAAGCTCCTCATTTATCTCCCATGTGCCAAAAATGATTGCATCAGACTCAAAACCATTTGGGTTTCTTGACTGCTAAGAGAAAGGCGAAACCCTGGGTGGTGTGTTTGCTGAGAGGAAGGTGGGGAACATCTGGGGGGGGAAGACAAGCAGGTGTGACTGGAATCAGACGGAGGCCCATGCAGAAGTAAACTGCTCATTCATGTGAAATGAATCAACTTCCTTCTTGGGCAAATTACTTTTCAGCGCCATCCCACACAAAGCTGATTTATACTTGTTTGGATGAGTTCTCTCCTTCCTGGAGGCAACGGGCTCCCCTAGCTCCCCCGCCCACCCCGGCATGACTGAGGCCAGGTGTGTTAGGTATTGCTAATAGAGAGTTTGATTCACTATTTGGTAAATCATTACAGATTCACCACCCCACAGCAAAAGGTGTCCCCCTGGATGCTGGTGGTGACAGGGTAGGCCAGGGGATCATTTTGCAGAAAACTTTCAGTCAACCTGAAGCTTCATGGAAAACGGCTCTGTGTACAGAGAAGAAATGGCTCAAAGCCATTAATCAGCCCTAGGTAGTGATTTCTATGTAACACGAACACATCTATCTTGTGGGCATGAGCCTGGGAGGGCTCTTCATAACTTTTACTTCCCACGTTCAAGGATGATAGATGTAGAACATCATATCATTTTTTATAACTCAGATTTTTAAAAAATCCTGGGCTTTCCTGCCAGAAAAAAACATCTTTTCCACGATTCGGCTTCCTTGTCTGAGAAATGGGGATGATAACAGCTCCCACTCAGAAAGGTGAAAGCATCACATCTCGAGCTCTTGGGACACATATGTTAAGTGGTCAACAGACGTGACAGTGATGATGCCGGTGGCAGTGGTGCCTTGAAGAACCAACTCTGCAGATGACCTTCTAGATGAGCGGCCACGTCAAGTTTAAGGTCTGAAGAAAACCACACAGGCTCGGTGCTCATGCTTTTGACAACGCTCCCTGCTTTTCAGGAGTGATGAACGTCACCGTTCGGGAGACTGTCTGCAGTCCTACAAACGGGGTTGTGTAGGGCCGGGTCGGAGTGCATCTGAGAAGCAAAGCTGGTGTCAATGTGCACTGTGAACGTGCCGTTTCATCCATCAAACGTCAAGCTTTCCATGAACAATCTAGCTAGGGAGTGTGTGCCTGTTTTGCTGTGTGAAACAAAAAACCCTTCTTAGATCTAGTCGGGTCAACTCTCAATCCACAAATGGAGAGAGAGGAAGAGGGAGACAAGCGGGAGGGAAGAAAGACATGGTCATTAAAATCCACCATCAGATTTTAGTGTCGGATATAGGGTCCTCTAGATCCCTGGAAGTGATGGTCCTGAGACTAAACATCAAGGATATAAAGTCCTCCTTTTATCTTGACCTTATAAAATCTACAGTTCTCGGCCTCGGGTCTTTAAGGGACAGACCCACTGTCTCTGTTTTCCACCCAAAATTGTGGATAGAGGACATATCTTCGGTCTTTGTATGGAGGCTGTGGGGATGAGAAATAAGACAACTGGCTTTGCCTAGCTAGGTGTGCTCTGACCATTCCCAAGTTCCTTTTAATGCAATTCATGTCCTCGGGTGTTTTTTTTTTCATTTTCAAAAATTTCTGGATATTACATTTTCGGCAAACTAGTGTCAAGCAGTTGAGAGACTGCAGTTTGAAACTCTGGGACTTGCAATTGGTTTTTCCTTCTATGCCCAACAGTGCCCTCATTTCTAGCCAGTGTAGGCTTTCTCCTTCATCTGGAAGGCACTGTTCTTTAGATTGGGCAGTGATGCATTTTTGGTGCACAGGAAGGAGCGAGATCAGGAGCACAGTGGAGCCACACAGGCTGGACAGCCAAACCGACAGCATGCGAAGAGTCGAGCCAGGCACATGCTAGGGTGGGGAGGTCACCTTTTCTCCTTTTTCTCCTAGATCGCCCTTCTCACCACGTGGACCAGGGAAGCCCTACAAGATAAAAAACACACCAAAGAGATCTCTCTGTTTAACTGCAGTGAAGGTATGTTAACGAAAAAAATCAGAGTTTCTTGCTTCTGGACTCCGTTATGAAGAAAAATGCCATCCCAGCCAATCTCAATACTTAGCTTGGTAAACCAGCACTTAGAAATGAACTGTTTGCCATCATGGCAAATGATCAATATACAAAGGTAAGTCAAAAAGTATTGCAACAAAATCCAAAAACTTCTTAAACAAATATAACAAAACATGAAGCTATTCGTTCTCAACATACCCTCCCTCTAGAGGTCTGTACAATTCTGAAGGTGGTCCTCCCATCCCCTCCGTTCTTCCCTGAAGTGCTCGGTGTCCTTTGACCCCATGTCAAAAAGGCAGTTTTGATATTGTCAAGGGAACCCAGTTGTGTTCTTTGAGCTTAAGAAACCAAAAGAAGTCTGAAGGGACAAGATTAGGGCGGTAGGGTCAATGGGTAAAGTTTCCCAATGAAATGTTCATACAATCCCTGCAGCCCTTGAAGCATGAGCAGGTACACTGTCATGAATGGGGGGGGGGGAGGGGTTCCCCAGTGCAACATTCCCGGTTGCTGTTTCCCCCCTCAGCAACTCAATTTTCCAGTTTTCTTAAAACTTCTTCATCAACACCAGTGTTGTCTATCAGAGCACCGCTTTGGAGTACAAAACACAGTTGCCATCACCGTCTCCACCGCTTCTCTGCCTTGAATTGACGGTCTAGTAGATCCCTTCGGAGGTCACTATTTTGATTAGACTCTTAAAAAATTTTTTTTCCTGAAAATTGTGATTTTGGTCACAGTTTATAGAACAAATTGGTTTTGCACTCAACAACACGCACATAGTCGGCTTCATCACATTGCCTGCCATCCCTACAGCAGCTCTTGCCCCACTTCCTGTCTGTGTTGGGACTTATTTTGCAGGTTCCCTCAGGAGACAAGTGTCTTTCTCCCAGTGTCTGCAGTCATCCGTTGTTTACAGAGACAGGTTCACCTCCATCCACTTTGGTTGGCATATACCCATGCATGTATCAACTGGAATTCTAGTAGGAATCCTTCTTGACTTTAACAGATTTCCCTGCCTCTTTTCTCTAAGAAATGCCAAGTGGACAGACGACCAGGGCACCAGTTTGCATCCCAGCAAGGTCACCAATTTGTGTGGCTTTAGGCATGTCACTTACCTGTGCGAGGGCTGTGAGCATGACCTGAGGGGAGGCACCTAGAGTACCAGCACGATGCCTGCACACAGTAAGTGCTCAACAGCCGTGACTACGGCTACTGTGGGTGCTTTATTATTCACATGATACAGGGCGAGCAGGGATCATTGTTCGATCGAACTTTCGATAGCCTCTATTTTTATACAAGTGTGCGGGCATAAGCTATAGTCTTTATGGCCAAGGAAAGTAGTGCCTAACCATGTGGCGAATAAACATAATACTCTATTCCCTAGTGGTAGCACATGAGAGAGCCATATATATATATATGTGGCATGAGTAGTTGGCCAGGTCCTGTGAAGAATGCCCTCATCTGGGAAATTATTTGAAGTGCCACTTTCACCTGTCAGTTATTAATTGGCTCTCCACTAATTACGTTTTCCACTTTATGTGTATTCCATGCAAACCGTGGTGGTGTGTTTCATATTGCTGTCTACATGCACAGCAATATAGGCTGTAGGCACAGAAAAATCAAGGAGCATCCTTGCTGTTATTGCGGATGGAGACCATTGGCATCTCTTATCACTGGAAGAGGTTTATTGTACGTATTACTTACATCAAGACCGGGCTCTCCATCTTTGCCCTGCCAAAGAATCATAGTAACTACATTAGTGTTTCTAAGTTTCATGAATAGGTTAGGTTAGGTTCTTTGTTTTAGTTAAGGCAGCTTGGACATGCAATACTAATGTTAGAACAGCTGCTTCAGAAACGTGGACACGATTCTGAAATGATTAGTAACTCAAAGTTCTTTGAGAGGGTTCAACAGATGGAAAGTATTCTGCTGATGTCTGATGCTTGGTATCCAAGTGATTAGTTCAGGGTTAAGTCAAAGGCAACCGTACTGTTAAGTTGATTGAAAAACACACCACACAGCACAAACAAAATTCACAAATTAATATTCTGCGCTACTTTAACTTGCTAGATCAGTAAATAGCTCAAGAATGAGTCAAGGATGTGGAAATGGCTTGTTAAACGTAGTCTTCATTTGGCTCGATGTGCAGTTTCTCCATTGAGGGTGAGAAGCAATCTAATGTTGGGAAGCAGGCTGTGTAAGTAAGACTGATTGCCCCAAATAACTAAGGAGGCATCAGATGGTGAAGCAAAGATGCTAATCTGCCCCTCGATACAGATGATCACACAGCGCCTTACTGCATCACACGACCCTTCCACCCAAATTACGAGATGCCGCGTTGAAGTCATCAATCGGATTTTTGAAATCGATTTGGGAACCAGCATCTTTAAATCTTTTTTTTTAAGTCCTGAATGACTCATGGTCTATTATTCTAAAGTATAAAAGGTGGAAGGAACACAGAATTTAAAAACTTTAATACCGTATATGCTTCCACTATGGTCTTTACCCTGTCCTCACAAAACAATTGTGACAAAGATAATGTTTCCGCAGTGAACCTGAAGCCCCGGGTTGAATCTCAAGAGATAAAACTCAGTTGGCGCCTGGGGGTCTGAAGTTCAGCTGTCACCACCGTGAGAAAGGTCAGAAGCCTAAACCACAGCGTCAACATGGAGCTAACCTGAGAAGTCAGGCCTTAGCAAGAATCTTCTTGTTGTTGTAAGGTGCTGTCAAGCCAGTTTCGACTCACAGCGGCCCTGGGTAGGACAGAAGCAAACACTGCCCCATCCTCACCATTGTTTGAGCCCCTGGAAAGGTAACACTCGGAGGAGGCTGTTTTCAAGGAAAGCTCCCACGTCCCATTTTCCTTCCCAGGAAGTGCCTGTCATAATCCTGTGCTGATGACTGGGGCTTGGTGTCCAAGGTGAGGGCTAAGTCCTTGGCCTCAGAAGCCCCAGGGAGGATGCTATCTGACAGTCTGCATCCTGTTTCTAGGGTAGCACTGCTGTCACTCAGACACCTGTGCGCCTCCCAGGCTCAGGGAGTGTGAGGCTGTGTCTGCTACCGGCTGAGGGGCATGGGGGCAGCCGGGAGCGCAGGCCACTGACCCTGCCCTAGCTCTAGAGAACTCGGTTTTCTTTGTACTTCAGTCATTATCAGTTGTTCTTTGGTCCTATAACTTGATTAGTTGACCCCATGAGGGAAGGGTTAACCAGGCCCGTGACAGGTCATCTAGTCATGCTGAAGGTAGGGACACTGCAAGTAACGGTGAACTCACAGGCAGACCGTAGGGCCCTCTGGGTCCTGGCTCCCCCAAAGCTCCTTTTTCACCCTACAATGAAAGACAAAAAGTTTAAATCACACATACCTATACTCTCTCTCTAACACGCACCCACACGCACAGGGAGGCACTCGGGAGTGTGACCATAATGCTGGCAGTTTGGAACCATCTAGAGGTGCACATCAGAAGAAAGGCCTGCCTATGTACTTCTGATAGGGCTCACAGCTCAGTTCTAGGGATCAGGTCTAATTGATGGCACACATGGGGTGCATGCGTAGACTCAAGCTGACGACAAATTGTCTTCTTTCATTTTCTTTCTATTGAAAGCCCCAAAGTTCCATTCTATTGAAGCCCCAACGATTTGGGCTCTTAGGGCTGCTGGCCGTGATACAGTACCAATAACTCACGAAAGCATGTTGTGCTAAAGTCACCGACAAAAGAAAGACAAACCCAGGACACTGTAACGCAGTTTCTTCAGCATCAGTGTGTGCTATAATGAATTCAAGTTACTATTGTGGTATGTAATACAATGCAAAAACGCCCCCCCAACCCCTCCTACCTTATCAAGTATCTCTTCTTCTTCAGCCACTCAACTACCTTTGCTCTTTGAGCTGTACTTTGTTTCATTGCACTTCCCTCATGGGGAGACTCAAAAAACCTAATGAAACTTACTGCCACCCAGTCAATTCTGACTCATAGTGACCTTGTAGGACAGGGTGGAACTGTCCCTGGGAAGTTCCAAGATTGTAACTTTTTATGGGGGTTGAAAGCCCCATGTTTCTCTCTCAGGGCTGCTGGTGGTTTTGAACTGCAGACCTTGGGATAGCAGACCAATGTGTCATCGCTACACCACCAGGGCTCCCAAGGAGAGACACACATATGTTAGCCTGTTTGTTCTCTGTCTTCCTCACAAGAATACATGCTTCATTGTACAGGAACCTCTTCTTTTGTTTCCAACTGCACCCTGTGTGCTTAGAACTGTGTCAACACATATTTATTGGGTGAATTTATCAAACTAAAAAAAAAATTCCATTGCTATTGAGTTGCTAATGCTTTCAGTCCAGTGTGGACTTCCTCCCTCCTTGCTTCCTTTTGAAATGGCTGAATGGCGACTAGTTCTTTTGGGCACAGTGACTCTGTGTATTCCTTCCATCTTCTTTTGCTGCTTCCTGAATGATGTAACCTTTTCCCCACAGAATCTTTCAATATTGGAACTCGAGACTTGACATTTTTCTTCAATTCTTTCAGCTTAAAGTAGGCTGAATATGTTCTTCCTTTTCTTTGACTTCATCATTTCTTCCATTTGCCTTATCGTCTCGACTATGATTAAGAGCAAGTTCCAGAGTCTCTTCTGACACCCACTTTGATCTTTTCTTTCCCGTCTTTCGAATGACCTTTAGCTTTCTTCATGTAGTATGTTCTTGATGACATCCCACCGCTCATCAGATCTTTGGTCCTTCGTGTTCAGTGCATCAAAGCTGTTCTTGAGAGGTTCTCAAAATTCAGGGGCGGTAGACTCAAGGTTGTATATTGGCGCTCATGGATTTGTTTTAATTTTGTTCAGCTTCAACCTAGACTGACATATAAGCAATTGATGGTCAGTCCCACAGTTAGCCCCTGGCCTCACTTCAATGTTGATGCTGAGCTTCTCCACTCTTTGCCCACAGATGTAGTCCATGTGATTTCTGTGCATTCCAGCTGGAGGGGTCTATGAGTACAGCGGCCTTTTGCGTTGTTGAAAATGGTGTTTGTGATGAAGAAGTTGCTGGTCTTGCCATACTCTTCTCATGCTGCATTTCTATCACTAAGGTCATAGTTTCCAACCACTCTTCCTTCCTTTCGTTTCCAACTTTTGCATTCCGATCGCCAGTCATCAGCACATGTTTGATCAATTCGACACTGAAGAAGTTGGTAAAATTCTTCAATTTATTCATCAGCATAGTGGTTCATAGGTAAACCTGACCAATAGTTGTTATTACTTTGATGTCCTTCCGTGGGTATAGATATTATCACAGCCACCGCTGTACTTCAAGATAGATCTTGAAATGTCTTTTTGGATGATGAATTCAACACCGTCCCTCTTGAACTTAGAATTCCCAGCATAGTAAACCATACGACTGTCTGATTCAAAATGGTCAACACTAGTCTACTGTAGCTCACTAACCCCTAGGATACCGATCATCTTCACATGTTCCATTTCATTCTTGATCTCTTCCAATTTTCCTAGATTCATACTTTGTACATCCCAAGTTCTGATTATTAACAGATGCTAGCAGCTTTTTCTTATCAGCAAATGAAGGTCCTCAAATCTTTACTGTACATTCATGTCATTATGGTAGTCTACTTTGACAGACTTGCTCAGTCACGTTTTGAGTGTTTTCCGGGACAATGGTCTGCTGCACTTTGCATAGGGTTTTCAGTATTTGACAATGTTCTGATGCTATTCAAAAGGCTGGTTAATTTCTCCAAAGTGGACAGCCTATTCCTTCTTTGTTGCCTGTTCTTAGTCTGGAAGCTGTGCTGAAATCTGTTCACTTTGGGGTGACCCTGCTAGTATCTGAAATACTAATGACATCACTTCCAATATCACAGCAACACACAAGCCACCACAGGATGACAAACTGACAGACAAGTGGTGGATGTACAGCATATACATATATGTATTATATATACATGTGTACATACATACACATACAGATCAGTATGGAATCTATATTCTAGGTCCCTGGTTGAGCAAATTTCAGGTAAGTATTAACATTCTTCAAAAGGAGTGCTTGCTGGGTACCCAAAAGGCCAGCCATTTGACCCACCAGCGCTCTGTGGAGTGAAATCTGACAGTCTGCCTGGTTTTAGCCTTAGCTCTACTCTGTCCTATTTGGTCTCTATGAGTCAGAATAGACTCCCCAGGAATGGGTCTGCTTTGACAGTAACCTCTCAGAAGCAGATTTGTCAAGCTTTTCTCCTGATGTACCAGTGGGTGGATTTGAACTGTTGAGAACTTTTGGTTAGAAGCCAGGTGCTTAACCATTTGCACCACACAGACTCAGGATTTTGAAACGTCTCCAACTTCATATACTCTCCCAGAGCGAGGTCCCGAGCAATTACAAGTCAGAAGGAGGGAGGTAGCCAGCATCAGGTGTCTCAAGGGTCGCATCCTGATGCTGTCAGTTATACAGTTGACAGTTTATGGAGGGCATTGCCTGCCTACTGTTCTAATTTGATACAAACTCTTGAGTCTGCCTGTCCTCACACAGGAATTATTCTACAATCCCCTCGTTTGCTGATTCCTATCTCTTCAAAATGGAAACTTGGTTAGGAAAACCCAAATGGAGCCTCAGTCAATTAACTTTGAGAATCACCCTCCACTTGGGCACTTGGCATGAGGGGCACTTACAGAGAGCTGACATTTGATCCCATTCAGATAGCTATCCTGCTGAGTCAAACCAAGTGCAGCACTTCACACCACACACCATTTGACTTAAACTATGCCGTCCAAAATTCCTCACAATTTCATTTGCTTCCTTGGTTCATTCTGCCCCAGCTGTGAGACTTGATACCCTTGTGACACTCTGGAGTGATCGATCGGAAGTAGCAGCTGATTTAGCAAACAGTAAACCCTCTTGAGCCCCAGGGCATTTGGCCAAAGACGCCTGAGATTTGCTGCTCCATTTTTAGTGCGAGTGGTGGATATACTGTTTTGAAAGCACACCTGCGTCAGCAGCAGCCCTGGAGCTCGGATAGCTGTGGATATTCTATGCAAGTCAGGTTATATCCGCAAGGCAGTGGTCTGCTCCCAGAAATAAGGCCTACCGGAGTGACCTCTCGGGTGACCTCTTCCTTTAGGACACCTGTACACACAGCTATGTCTGTACAGCCTGTGCTGTTTGTATTTGAGCTGGCCTCACCCTCTTGTGATTTCATCTATACACACACTCACCTATATACTTTTTTCCACTCTGCAGTTAGATTGCAAATGCTTTTAAGCCTAGGAAAACTGCTGCTTCCATGGGCATGTCAATGTGCATAAGGCATGACTGCAAGCTTGTGGGACGATGAATAAACTATAATGACACCATTTAATGCACTGGTAAAATTGAGCAAAACAGGCTTTTTTTCTAAGAAACCTAGAAGTGTGCAGACAGGGTTCCTATTTCACACTCAAAAGTTATTGTATGTTTTGCACATGCAACCTAAAAAGCTAAACCCACTGCCATCAAATCAATTCTGACTCACAGCAGCCCTGTAGAGGGTTTCTAAGGCTGTAAGTCTTTACTAGAGCAAACAGCCTCATCTTTCTCCCTCGAAGTGGCTGATGATTTGACCCACCGCCCCCTGCACATAGTAACATTCAATGAGGAGTCCCTGGGTGGTATAAATGGTTAGCATGCTTGGCTGATCACCAAAAAGCTGGGGATTTGAGGCCATCCATCGGCAACTCAGAAGAAATGTCTGGCAGTCCAAAAAACCAGCTATTGAAAAGCCGCCGGAGTCCAGCTCTACTCTGTCCCTTAGCCGGGGTGCCGTACATTGGAATCCGCGCGAGGGCAACGAGTTTCTAACTGGTAGCACTTGTTAACGGCTGACTGAAGGAATAGAATCATTTCATGGAATTATGGGATTGGAAGGCACTTCCAGGCAATCACTGCCCAGAGCTCTCTTTTGAAGCAAATGATCCCAGATCAATAACGACCAATCTCACTTTAAAAGGCCTCCCTCTTGCACTGGGAAATCCTCCCAGCATTGTCAAGGCTTCACCCTTGACCTCCCATTTTGGCTGCTGGGAAAGCCAATGACACAAGTCTACCTACACACACACACACACACACACACACACACACTCTGGGTTTTCCAAGTGGAACAAAAGAAAAAGTAGGAGAGAAACAGAAAGTGGGAGAGAAGTCCTAGTCAAGTCACCAGCTGCTGATGCTGCAGCACATTGCTTGGTGTCAGGAGGCATCTTTTGTCCTAAAGGCCCTCCCCACTCCTCTTCCTCTCTCCAAAGAAGATGGGAACATGGCCTGGTGATCCAGAGGCTAGTGAAAGGTTTCTGTTTTACAATGCACCGGAATTACTTCCTTATAGTTAGAGCAAGACAGGCTATTCTTCTGCAAGAAAACCTGAGCATGTGTAACTCCATGGAGGAGAATGCTTACATTTTGTCATTTGCTTAAAACACACACACACACACACACACACACACACACACACACACACGATAACTTCTTCTGAGTGAATACAGTAGCTTTATAGAAAAAAAACTATCAACCAAAATATGTGATCCTAGGAACATCAGCCTCATTGACTTCCACATTCTGGATGAAGGCCAGATGAAATACCTTCCTCATGGCTTCAGAGAGAATACGCTCAGCTATTTATGGAAACGCAGGTACTGTTTTCTTGAAGGCACTTTATTCCCCGAGGCTCCTGTCCCTCAGTGTTGGGGCTCTGAATGGAACGTATAACGGAATCTGTTTTCTTTTAACGTTCGCTAGCCCTTTATTCCGTGTCCACTAGATGAACAGAGAAGTACCACCACAATGGAAACGCTACCCTCTGATTATTTACTTAGTACACGGCTTAATAACTTCAGGAGCAACTTACTCTTTCTCCCTTGGGACCTGCGGGGCCATGGGGTCCCATAGGGCCATCTGTACCCTAAAAGAAGCAAAAAGAGAGACAGTATGAGGCGCACACACAGACTGCAAGAAAAGCAGTTTGAATGCAGCCTGGTAGACCAGCTCCTTCCCAAGTACGTCATACTGGATGCTTACAGGTCAGTGGTTTCCAAGACACGCATACACAAAGGATGAATTACATAACTGTATATTTCAATGAAAGAAATGCACACAAAGCCATCTGTCACATTGAATTATGTATTTCCTCCCTTAAAATTGGAAGACACGCCTCCTCCCCCGTGCTCCCAGAATCTGAAGAAGAACACGGTAATTGCTCTCCCTCCACGTCACCACTTCCTCCCGTCCACCTTGCGTGCCCACGGCCTCCCTCCACTCCCCTTGGCAGCAGATGCTCCGAAGCCACCATGCTCTCAGCAGAGATACAGAGGACCGAAGAGTTTCTATCAGCGAAACAAATGATTGAACATATGAGCCCAGTGGCTCAGTCCAAACTTCCGGCAGTTCTGTTGCTGGCAGGGGAGACCCAGGAAATGAATCGCTGTTACAGATTCTGTGCCAGCGTCCAAACTCAGTACGTTACCATTCCTGAATCAGGCAGCTGAGAAGACTTAATGGCAGAACTGCCTTCTGGTCTCGTGTTCCAGATGAAGATCTCTGTAGCAGCGGAGGTAATACCTCCGTGACCACGGAGACACTGAAGTCCTGGGGAAATAATGACTGCTGGAAGCAGGCGTTGGGGGTTGGGGAGACTTTTTGTTTGTTTGTTTGTTTTAGATGCTTAAAAAACGTAGTAAGGACTTCAAGGATATATCCATTGGCTCATTTCTAGGAAGACAAGGCCTAGGCTGGCAAAGAATCTATTATAATAGTTGCCAATGCAGGAATGACTGTGACACCCATGTGCTAGCGTCTTCCTGTGCCTGGTCCCCTCTGCTGGTTCATGCAGTCGGAGGCCTGTAATGACCAAGAACTCGGGTTTAAATCCTTTCCAACGTGGAGGTCTTCCCATCCTGTTCCCCGATCCCTTGGCTTACTGCCCGTGCTGCAGCGTCGCCTTGGAAGGACTACAAAACCCTGTGTATCTGGGCTGCCATTTCAGAGACAAAGCTGTTAAGAACCTACGTGAAGAGACATGACAGGAGACAGACAAGTCATTCCTATCCACAGAGATCTGAAAGTTAGTGCCCAGGAAGAAATGACGTTTCTAAGGTAGACATAAACATAAAAAGGAAAAGCGAGTTAAAAGCAAAGGACCGAGGTCCATCTTTGTTCTCGTCGCTCTTTTGCGGGCTTCTTTCCTGGTAGGCTAGGGGATGCCCTGCTGCTAAGAAAACACCATGGTCTCACATACTGAATCCATGAGTTCAATTCGGCACTGCCTAGCAAACGCTCCAGATCTGACCCCACGCTTCGGAAAGATGTGGTGGTTACAGCCGTGCCCTGTGTCCTGCCCTCCTCCTCCTTCACTCGGGTCTCTCACCAGCCGGTGTGCGAGAGGACAGTCCGCACGGGCTCAGTCTAGAAGCAGGAAATTCACAGGCATAAAGCAGGTCAGAGCAAGATGAGGGACCGACTCACCCGGGATCCTGGCTTTCCGTCTAAGCCAGATGCTCCCTGTGTGTGATTTGGTTGGTGGCAGGGTTGGTGGGTGGTGTAACACGAATGACAAGAACAGAGATTAGTATGAGGTACCGATGCACAAATGTAACACTTCAAACAACAGAATAACACAGTCACAGGATTCTGGGATGAATATCACATTGCTACAAATGGTTAGTTTTTTTTTATAAAAAACAACACCAACGATAAAACAAGAATATGACGATAAACATCTCACATGATGGCATTTTAATGACATTTCTATTTGGCAAATTCTTATTTGGAAATCAAGATAATGAGGTTTGTAAAGCCAACTACAGAGCAATTGCTGGTAGTGGTCATAAACTGTGATGAAATTTCTGTATGCGATGTATTTTCTAAAGACTGTACAATTAATAATGTATGCTTTCTAAGTTACGAAGGAAAACATAATGGCCAATCTCCTAAGAAAGGCTTGTTATAATATAATCACCTGCACTTAGCATCTCAGAAGATAAGAACTCTAGTTTTGCTCGCTACAATAGTGCTTAGGAATAACCAGTGCTGAGTTTTAATGTGCCAGGCTTGCTGTGGATTTTTCATGAATAGAATACTTATTTTCTTGGTTAATCTTTTTATTTACACTAGTTACCACTAGAGGGACTTCCAGGAACAGGGAAAGACCAGACAAAAACCACCACCAACAAAAAAACCCCTGTCCCAAATCCATGCTGGCGATTAATGGTTTCTTGGGAGTACGGCAGGGGAGAGGGGGAGATGGAGAGCTAATAACAAGGAGTACAAGAAAGAAGATCGTGTTCTCAAATTGATTGTGCTAATGATCGTACCACTCTTCTTGATATGACTGATCTATTGAATTATACGTTATGTGGATTTATCCCAATAAAACTTTAAAAAAGAAGAAATAATATGGAAATAACAGTTGATTGTTTTATGGTCAGGTATTACTTAATATTTTTTCATTAATATTTTAAAACTCTTGTAATCTAGCTGTGTGTACCTCTTTTATTGTTCTTATTTAAGTATCAACTGTATGGAATAATAAACTACCTTTCGGTAAAAAAAACAAAACAAGTACAAAAACACCCTGCCCCAAATGAAATCATTCCATATTTCCTATCAAATAAACCTGGCATCAAACGCTGCACAAGAAATGTTTCTTTGAACATATAGGTTTGTTCTCAGGTAACATATGATGTTTCTCTTGACCTTGAACTCTGGACTCTACATTAATACTTCCAACCAAAGACCAACCCTCAGGCCTCCAAGTGGATGCTGACTGCTGGAGAAGCTGTGCAGCAGAGTGGAATGAACCACGGGGTCCCAAGGGCTGTGAGTGGTTGGGAAAGCTTAGACAGCCACCTCTTTCTCCCTCGGTGGGGCCGGGGGTTCCGCACCGTGCTTTCAGTTAACAGGCGAATGTTTGAACCACCGTACCACGAGGACTCAGAACATAACAAGAGAATATCCTTAAAAACGACGATTTCCAACCTTGCTTCAAGAATCAGCATAGTTATTTCTCTGATATGGCTTGGCACCTCAAAGCCCAAATATTTATTTATAGCCCTTTAATAATATCAATTAAATCAAGGAGTGATTAAAAGAGACAACACATTGATCTTGTAAACACGCTTGGCAAGATTGCCAAACTGTTTCTGCATTTTATGCTGCAGATGCAGTTAATAATACAAAGGGGTGGGTGGGTGGGGTGTGGAGAAATCTATTCCAGCTGTGAACTTTACCAATGATGTGATGCCATACATATTTGGGGTACTTTTATTTTTTTAATTTTAAAACTCCTTTTATGTAATGCTATTACAATCCATACTACGACTGAAAAAAATGCATTTAGCCATCCATGGCTAAAATATAAAAAAATACATAAAATATTTATGTTGCTGCTCTGGCTTGTTTGTTTAATGCTATGTAAGTAAAACTTTGGGCTAAAGGTTGCGTAAAAGTTAGCACTGATCCATAATTGGGAATGAAGACAAACTTGAAAGGAATCATTCTGAATGTTTATAGAGAACAGAAAATGCAGGCCTTTTGTTTTTTTTCCCCCTCTGCCATATTCTCTTTAGAGTCAACGGGAATCCAACATCTGAAAATGAAAAGGGGCAATGGGGAAAATCTTCCCCTGATAATATCATATCCACCTGGAATGCTGAATAAATGACTCGCATATGTTATAGAGATTGTATGCCTGTGGTCCATTGATCAAACTGGAATTATCTGGGCCATACTCGAACATAAGGCTTATCGCATACATTTCCTTTTTACTAATTCAGTAAATGAACAGATAGTGAGCATCTATTATGTGCCTGATCTGGGTATCGGGACTGGATATCAAATGAAGTGTACTGTAATACTTTTAAGTCCAACAACCAAGAGAAAATGAATTCAGTGGTCACCAATTGTCTTCTCCTTCCCCTCAAATTACTCATTTTCTGTCGCGGCTTGACAATGTAATGCATAATGCGCCGTATGGACTTTTATCTTCATTCATCAAACAGGGAGAACATTAAACCTTTGAAATGAAGTTCTAATAATCAGTAATCATTTCTGGGGAAAAAATTTCTAAGCGCCACCATTTAGTTGTGGAAAGAAGGGGCTGGTATATAAAAAGTAGGAGGGGAACAGCCTTTTGTTATGAAAACCAAAAATGTCTCAATGACGACAAAATGTTTCTTCCATTCTAGTTTCTACTCCCCCAAGAACCCCACCACAGGGCGTTCCCAAAACAAACAACATAGAACACTGAGAACAAGGCATGACTGGCCAGGGTCAGGGACCCCATGCCAGGAACGATGGCGAATTGCACACCTGCCACCAGCAAAGGGCTGCAGTTTTTGGTCTGGAAGGAAAAAAAGCCTGGGGGTGGTAGGGGTGGTGGTGTTTAAACTGTATGAAATTTTGAAAGCACTTAGGAGGAATTGTGAAATACTGAGCACGAGACTTTCTAACAGGGAGGGAGCTGCGAAAAACCATTCTCAGCCCTGAGAGAACGGTTGGCATGTATGTAATTGAAGAAGGACAGGACATGCCACAGCCTCATTCGTTATGGGATCTTCTTTCTGACACAAGAACAGACACCAGAGGAAACAAGACGGGACAGAGCTCTGCTCACACATATGTGTTTTCCTGTGAGAGGAACCTCAGCAGTAGGAGAGCCGGGGAGTAAACCAGAGCTGTTACTTAAGGCAGAAGGAAAAGTCTGAGATTTGCACTGAAATGGAAAGTTTTCTTTACTTACTGGAAGACCAAGGGGTCCTCTGTCACCCTTTTGACCTGGTTCACCCTTCAAGCCTTTAGCACCATTTAACCCTGGTTCACCCTAGATGCAAAAGCAAATGCCAATTTTGGTTGCTATCATTGGGCTATACACTGGGAGAGAAGAGAGCCAGTCTCTGATGTGGTTGCAAATTCCAGTTTTCAGTAACAGCAAAGTCAGGTGAGAGTTCGTCTCGCTTTTGTTAAAAACAAATAAATAAATAATAATTGGGGTTTGCTCAATGTTATACATGGAAACGGACAGCTGAATTATATGTTGGGAAAGCCAAACTCCCAAGAAGACATGTTCCTTATAATCAAGCTGCAGACGTCTGAGGTCCTGAATTTGGGGGTTGCATCTAAAGGGAATTAATTTTCTCCTGCAGTGCTGTGACCAAGTGAATCAAAGACACTCCGAGTGGAGGGTGCCAAGGAAGCTGGGAAACCCTGCTCCGCTGGAACGGAAACTGGAATATGCAGGACAGTCATATACAGATATTTTAAGCCTTTAAGCATGTCGCCCAGGGGAATGAGATCAACATGTAGCAGCTGATGTTTGAAGTGGTGCCACGTAGTAGCAAGTCCTCATTCACTGACATCGCCAAGGCAGTCCAAGGCGTGGATTAATCAATAGAGCAGACAACAAATTGTCAATCCCACCGGAGAGTATGAAGATCAGGGGACTTAAAAGTTTCTTCTACTGCCTGTCTGCCTGTCCAGAGTTAGAAAAGAAGGAGGGATGACTTTAATTCAAGATGACATTACAAAGTCAACGCTAAGTGATATCGTTTCTAGACTGTCATTTTTAAAATGCAATACTACACGCATTTTCCACCAGCAGCAGACTCTTAAATCCAGACAGTGTGCTGACCTATGTATTTCCCATATGTTACAATGTCGTTAGGTGCCATCGAGTCGGCTCCTACTCAGGGCGACCCTATGCGCAACAGAAGGAAACACTGCCCGGTCCAGCGCCACCCTCACAATTGTTCCTATGCTGGAGCCCATTGCTACAGTTACTGTGTCAGCCCTTCTTGTCCACGGCCTTCCTCTTTTTCGCTGTCCCTCTACCAAGTGGGCTGTCCTTCTCCCAGGGTGGGTCTCTCCTGACAAGTCCAGAATATGTAAGATGAACAGACATTAATTTTGTCAAGAAAAGCTTGAAAGACTTGTAACAGGAATGGGATTTTGGGCTCAGATGCTCTCTAGTCTTGCTGAGGTGGGCGCAACAGATCTGAGTCAATGGAAGAAAGGATTATACTCGGCACATTCCTCCAGTTTGTCTGGTTATGGAAACCCAGGTGGTACTTTTTAAAACATAAAACTACCTAGGCTACAGTAGTAGCATAGGTGAATCTTCTCATCAGGCAATTTTAGACAACATCTACCTATGGAACCTTTGAGTTTTTATAAGTAGCGGACCTTTCAAATACACAAAAGAATGAGCACATTAGCATGATGCACTGCTGCATTTTGAAGAGGCACCAAGTTTGTGTATTTGCAGTGCTGCAACTGTAGGAATTCCAGGTGTGCTTGCTAAGACAGGATACCGGGAATGCTGCCGAATCAGAGGTTAGGTGAGGTTATGCCCAGAGCTCAAGATTGTTGTTGTTAGTTGCCAATGAGAGATTCCAATCCATACTTAATGTTCAATGCCAATGAATTGGTCATCACGCTTTAGGCTGATGGCTTTGCCTATGCGTGGGATTCGGCTAGTGGTCCTGAGCCGATGACCAGTGAGGGAAGCCTTAGAAGTCCATGAAACTCTTCAGAGAGCGGTCATGCATTGATTGGAGTGAGCATTCATTGAAGGGGAGTTTATATACAATCCAACCCAGTGCCCCAAAGACCGAACTTCTGGTCTGGACCTAACTTCTAGTCCTATCATTCTAGAGCTATCATTAATTAGCAATATGCCTTAGAGCAAATAAGCAAACGTTCCTGGGTCTATTTGTCATTTATAATGTCAGAAGACTAGCATAGGTAAACTGTGAGGTCTTTTCAACTTTATCAGCTACTGAAATCTATGATTGGGGTAAGGATCAGAAATCGTAGCATTTGCTCTTGGATTCCTCTGTGATAAAAAAAAAAAAAGAATTAGTAACACATCCTGGGTGAGCCCACTACCTGACCAAGAGAAGGGGGTCCGGTTTCCTGAGTCAGACCTGATGCCACCCCTAGAGCTAGATGCCTCAGAAGGGTGCCAGCCTCCCCAAAGGAGAGGGTGGATGGAGTTTTATGATACCTTGTGCCAACACTGTATTTATGGGCCCCACCCCTTCACTTTTAAAAGCACCAACTCACCACCAGGGAGCTCTGGGGGGCCCTGACTTATCTCACAATCAGCCTAGAGGAGTAACTTAGATTTTGGGTCAAAACAAAACATCAAGTCACCAGACAACAGTAACCACTGCCACTCAGTAGGTGTTCAGCAACAATAGCATCAGCTATCTTGCTAAGGGTTTTGCAACCATACACCATGAGATGATCACGCAGGCTAGGTGAGTCAATGGAGGTTCACAGAAGGCAAGGAATCTGAATCGTATCACATAAGCTCCCTGGAAGAAGCAGCTTGTCTTCTGGGGCTCATTTGAATCCCAGAGTATGTCTCTCAGTCTATAAAATGCCCAAGAACAGGTTGAGACCAACTTCACTACACCAGCTGCCCTAGTTCTGAGAAGGAAAGGCTAGTCTCTATAGTTCTCCTACTAATCACAAGCATGTAGCGTACAATGCATGCTTATGGCATTAGCACCCTGATGCGCCCCACCCTTCTGAACCAGTGACTTGGGAGAGAGCGCAGCATGACAATGCTCAGTCAGAGCACTGAGACACAGCACTGCTATATGGCCAGTCAACTCTCAACTCAACTCACTGCCATCGAGCTGAAGCCGACTCTCAGTGACCCTACAGGACCAGTAGAACTGCCCCTGTGAGTTTCTGAGCCTGTCACTCTTTATGGGAGCAGAAAGCCTCTCTGTCTCCCCAAAAGTGCTGGTGGTTTTGAACTGCTAATGTGTAACCACTATACTGCCAGGGCTCCTTCCTATATGGCCAGTAAGGAGCATCCATTAATAATTACCCAATACATAACTAAATATACCATAATTAAAAAGAACATCTGGATTCGTCTGATAAGCTAACTGGATTCATTTCTAAATAGTTCATTCTGAGTGTATTATGAAACACTTCAAGGAAAAAGGCGAAATGAAAAATGGCTTCTCTGCGGGTGGTATCAATTCCATTTTTGTGTGAGTCATCTTGTTTTGTGAGATTTAGGTATCTGGATGCTTAAAGGCTTAAAGATTAATAACATTACTTGACAAAGAAATAAGACAGGACAGACATGCTTCAGTCATGCGTCTTGATGATTAACAAGGAAACAGAAATCAAATAATTGAGAGATTTATGAGATTACCTTTGGTCCAGGAAGTCCATGGGGTCCCTGAAAGTGGAAAACACAGCTTTTAATGAAGAGCCAATTCACTGGTTCTCAGAAGAAGTGAATGTTATGTAAAATAATACAAGAGCGGCAAAACAAAGATCATGTCTGAGCTGTAGGTAGGGGCGGGAGAGTGGACTTTCTGACCAACCCAAAGTTGTCTGCAGCTCTTGGCGTCCTGCGAGAGGGAATCCATTGAACAGCAAAATCTGACTGCTCACCATTTCTGGTAGGGAGGAGGACATCTGTCTGGGTTAGATGGAAGTGGAGGGGGCGGGTAGGATTTGAGCCCACATGACTCCTATTTCTCAATTTCCATTTTTTAATCTGTGTGGAATACGTAAGAGGTTTTATGACTTTAAGTGGAACAGATATAAGACTTAAAGCCAGAAAGTAACTCTAGGCTTTTAAGTGTCAGGGAAGGGGAGAACATTTCTATTATGCACAGCTCTAGACCCCAGGTAGTGAAAGGAGCCCTTGACCCCTAATGAGTTAAGCATTGGTCTGCTAACTGACAAGGTCAGCAGTTCAAATCTGCCAGCCACTCTGCACGAGTCGGCTTTGATTTGATGGCTATGAGTTGGAAGTACAGAGATATATAAAACAAGAAGGAAGTGGGGGATACCACTCAAGTTCAGGATCCTTATTTCATTTTAGATTAAGAAAAGGAGTCTCATACAGGAGGTCTCAAAAAACCCAACCCAAACTCACTGCCATTGAGTCAATGCTGACTCACAGTGATCCTACTGGGCACGGTCGAAGTGCTGCTGTGGGTTACTAAGGGAGTCGAAAGCCTTTTCTTTCCTCGGAAGAGTGACTAGCAGTTTTAAAGGGTCTTAAGCATAACCACTAAGCCACCAGGGTGCAACACTGTACTGTTATTCTGAGTATCTATTGCTCTTCAAAAGACCAGCTCATCAGGGGACTGCAACAACTGTTTGTAAACAGGACAAAGACATAATGTTTGCACGAGTCAGGACAGAACACCACATATTTTAGGTAAATTTAACTATAGCGATTAATGAGTCCATCGAAATTAATTAAAACTTACTATGGATTGCTTTAACTTTTTCAAGTGCTTTAAATAAACAGTTTGGGGAGAGGACTTTGTTAATATTCCTTAGTGAAACATACAACTTCAAAGGGGAAAAAAAACCCTCCTTATTAAAGAATGCATGATTCTAAACACCTGGTTTGCAGAACGCTGTGGAAGACGGTAGAAGCCCCAATTCCCTTTGAGAGTCCCTGCATGGATTGAGTCCCTGATAAATCTCCAGTGTCCACAAACTAGGAATGTGAACAGTCCTGATACAAAACAAAGAACTCTGTAACGTGGCTCTCAGCAAGGCACTTGGACTGGAATGTACACTTTGTCATTAGATAACACTTTGGACCCACTTTTAATTCTAAAATTGTAATATCCTCTGCTTTTTCTTTGTTTTGTATGATCATCGTTTCTGGGTCTTTTTTATTTTTTGTCCTTGTTTTGCTGGTTTTTCTGTATAGGAAAGCCAGGATGGGTGGATTGAGGAAGACAGTAAATGAAAGAACAATGACCTGGGAAAAGGGAAGGGGAGGGCGGGGGAAATGGGAAGTCAACACCAATGGGTATAAGGAGGAAGAGAAAGTTCCAAAGTTGATTGTTGAGATGATTAGCCACCCCTTCTTAATATGACTGAACTACTAAATTGTACGACATGTTCATTACAGCTCAATGAAACTGATAACTGAAACATTGCATGGGAATTTGTTGCACATGTCTACAGTTGAATTACATTTTTCTTTTAGATAAGTTTGCAGATAAACATTTTCAGGAAATGGTGGCCATCTTATCAATTCTTCTGATCTCATTTAATAATGCTTAAAATAATGCTCAAAATTCCATCAAACTAAATAGTTTCATGATATGAACAGGCATTTGCTATTTGACTTTCTAACTTCAGTGGAGGGAGTATTTTTTAAAAAGGGTCAAAACAATGTTAGTTGCTTATTTGTTTTTTTGGGTGGATATATATTTTTTAATAATTAAATAATTTTATTGAGGGCTTGTACAACTCTTATCACAATCCACACATACACACATTGTGTCAAGCACTTTTGTACATTTGCTTCCCTCATCATTCTCAAAACATTTACTTTCTACTTGAGCCTACTGAACCCTTGGTATAAACTCTTCATTTTCCCCCTCCCTCTCCACCCCCCTCTCCCCCATGAACCCTTGATAATTTATAAATTATTAGTATTTTGACATATCTTACACTGTCCGACATCTCCCTTCACCCACTTCTCCGCTGTCCATCCCCCAGGGAGGAGGTTATATGTAGATCCTTGTAATCTGTTCCCCCTTCTCCCTCACCTTCCCTCAACCCTCCTGGTGTCGCCACTCTCACCACTGGTCCTGAGGGGTTCATCTGTCCTGGATTCCCTGTGTTTCCAGTTCCTATCTGTACCAGTGCACATCCTCCAGTCCAGCTGGATTTGTAAGGTAGAATTGGGATCACGATAGTAGGGGGAAGAAAGCATCCGTGGCCCTTCTGCAAGGGGATGTCCAATTGCCCACAGATGGGCCCTGACTCCCCACTCCACGCTCCCCTCATTCACAATGCTATGGTTTGTTTGGTCTTTTCTTATTCTTAATAAACGGTTTCATTTCTTGGAGTTAGTTGGCATTGTAAACTGGCAGTGAGGAATGGTGACTGAAGCTGGAGCTAGACTCTGTGGCTTAAGTCATTCAAAGGCTGCTCTTTGGTGGAGCAGGAGAAGAAACATGATTGCAGTCTGGCTGTGTGCTTGAAGACATGTGGCTGACTGGGCCATCCAATAGGACCAGACAGGCCTTCTGTTCTGCATTCTTATTCCTAAGCACCCAAAGCATGCTAGCCTTAACAACCAATCATTAGTTACGGCATTTGGGGACTTAACACATCTTTAAAAGTTTCTGGTGTGCTTGGCCATTAGCGGAAAGGTTAGTGGCTTGAACCCACCCAATAGTGCTGCAGAAGAAAGGTTTGGGGATCATAGCCGGATTATAGCAAAAACAAAAAACAAAAACAAACCCAAAACCCTATGGAGGAGTGTGACTAGTACCACCATCACACAATGAAGCATCATGGGTCTGAATCAACCCGAAGGCACAAGTAATGTGCCTGAACATCAGTCATGAGGGCGGAGTGACTTATCTTCCCTGGGCACAGAGGGACACCTGCAGTGAACAGTGACCCAGTGTTAAAATGGCACAGTGGAGCCATTGATAGGATTTCACAAGGAAGAAGGAGAATCAAGAGAGGCTGAGTGCCCTAAAGTGGAGGTCAGACCTTCCCTTTACAACCTTTCAATCAGTTCAGATGCCACGTCTCTGTGGGTTTAATGAGCTTATTGCAGTGGCTGCCCAGATCTGACTGCACATATGCACAGTTTAGGGGTTTATCAGGGAAGTAACGCGTTTCAATTCAGAGTCAGAAATGAGTCAGGATACAGATTTTCTGTCAGGACAGTTTTTTGACCACACCCACACTCTGACCCTTAATCTCGTGGCCTCTTGGGCCTTTTGGGCCAGATTAAGTGTTACAAAGTGTTACAACGCTTCCTAGCTCTCCATTCTGCAGGCAAACCTCCTGGCAAAAGGTACTCATCTCTCTCCCTCTTTGTACCAGAACGCCTCCTGTTATGCTATTTCTGTTTCTCAGCTGTGGCTTCTCGCTGCCTCTCACGCTCTCTGGTGTTATAAATCCCTGCCTCCTGGGTCTAAGAGGTTCCTAGCATAGGGACCCATGGTGAAAAGGACACACTGCACTCCAATGTCTTTTTGTGGTGGGAGTCAGGTCTCACATTTCTGCTTCTGGGATGGCTCATTTTATGCCTAAAGGGATGGCAAAACGGACCAATCTCTCTGTGAGGGTTCCGCATACCTTATTTGCATAGTTCCACCCCTGAAAGATTCCATGCACCTTATTATTAACAAACTGTCCAATCTCCCTGGGGGGGCCACACACACCCTATCTACATATAACTGCACCCAATCTTTTGGTGGAACTTGTAAGATGTTGGCTAGACAGGCCATATACAAACCATCCATCACACCGCACCCTGGTACAATGAATCAACCTAGGAGTGAATAGGGCAGAGCCTAGAAATGTATGCCACATGTGAAAGCAAGCGTCACTTCTTACAGCATCATTTTGTCAACATTCGCATGGACTAGTTCATTCAAAGATCTCAAACTCCACAGCTGGCTAGGAGCATTCTTGAGGGCCATGATGCTTCATCTTACTTTTCTACTGAACAAAACCAAAAACTGGAGGGGTGGTTTGTTAAATAGTTAAAACCGTTGCCAATGTTCATTTCATAAAAGTGGAATAAAGCTCGCCAGAATATAACTGTCCTTTCCTTGTGCCACCTGTCATAAAACGACTCTCTCTCTGTGATAGGTAGGTTTATTGTGCCAACCTAGCCAATAGGAACATGTGGGATTAATAAGGTAATAGTTTGATTGGAGGGCAAAGAGATAAATGGCTTGGAAAGCCCCGCCTGTCTCTTTCTTGCTCTCTGGTGATTGAACCAGTGTGCGGCTGCCTTAATTAGTTCTCTGCCTCAGCTTTCAAGCTACACCACCTGTGGGACACTCAATCCGTGGACTGTGTTGCTAGAGCTTGAGGTTCCTTGGAGACCTGCTTCGCCACACTCTGGTGTATACATCGCTTGAGATGGGGACTGTTGGATCCTGTCATCTGGTTGACTGTTGGTCACCCACCCTGCTGTTTGATGCTTGTAGCTGGACTGCCTGTATTGCGCTACGGAAGACTCAGCTGTCTGCTTCCTTGTCTTTGGACTCAGCAGCCCATGTGAGTGGAAGGACTTCCAGTATATTAACTGTTCCATGGAAGTGAGTTGAACTGAGCCCTCTGTACTGCTGTCTGGACTAATTAGCTGTTATATTCCTTCGTGCTCTATCTATCTATCTATCTATCTATCTATCTATCTATCTATCTATCTATCTATCTATCATCTAATCAAAAGTGTCCTGGTTTTGTTTCTCTAAAGAACCCTAACACAGTCTCCAACATTAAGTAGACAAGAGACTGAATAGACAACACTGTCACGTCAACGCACCTCTATGCATGCGCCTGCCTCATGTTTTCTGTGCCTTCCACCGAGGGGCATTCAAAACACAAGCTGGCTGTTTTCAGGGAGGTGGGCAATGTCTTCTCTAGTAGCACACTCATATATAAATGATTGCATGTCGAAGGGGAAGGAAACTTACCATGGGGCCTGGTGGGCCGTGGGGACCTGGTGGGCCCGGTGGGCCTATGATCTGTGTGTCCAAAGAAATAAAACATGGATTTGGTTACGTCGTTGAGATAAGGCGGTTCAGCTTGCCTCCCCTCCTGGGGTTCTGCTAAGACCATTAATAGCTGCGGAGGGTACTGGAAGAAGGGATGCATTTTAATTCTCTAGTTGAGAGAGTCCTTTATAAGAAGAAGGAGAACAAGCACTGTTACAAAAATAAAGGTTGTGCTCCCAGAGCCAGAGTAAATCAAAAGTACCTCCGAAGGAAAGGAAGCAACTGGTGACTGAGAAATGCAATAATGCCACAACCATGATGCGACCTTCAAATATCTCACTAGGCAGAAGCTGGGCTTGGGGGTGGGGGTGGGGGGTTGTGCTCGTGGGGAAGGACATATGTTCTACACTGACAGGGCCCTCCCCGCCAGGGCTGTGGGGAAGTCGCTGACTCTCTCCTCAGGGGCAGACAGCCTCTGAAAAACTGTTTCCAACCCAGGCCTCTGAGACCCTGGGTCTCTCATTGTAGCAGGCCGGCAGCTATTTCTTCCAGGGTTTGACAAACCAAGACGTTCAAGGTCTTTCTATTGTTGATAAGCCATCTGGTGCAGGTTGCGCTACGTAAATAATAAGCCCGTTTCTAGGTTTTCTTGAAGCCACACAATACAGCCACCCAGACTTACGGAAGGACCTTGAGGACCAGGGAATCCGGAGTCTCCTTTCCCCCCCTTCATTCCGTTGGCACCCTGCAAACAGCCAGGGAGCCCAGTGAAGCTGGAGAAAGCCATTGCAATGTGCAAAAAACAACGGGATGTTCACCTCCCCCCCAATCCAACATCCTGGGGGAAACTTTATAGCATTATTCTACACAGGATTTGTAGAAGAAGATTTAAGGACTGGATTTAGTTTAATTGGTTACACTTATCCAGTGTTAAATATGTAGGTTATAAATGTTACAGGTTTTTCATGGCGTCTGCATTTTAAATGGCAGAGGTCAGGCTTTTATATTTTATGGACATTTATTTATATACTTCCCTGTTTAAAATTAATATCTAGGGCAGTGCTACATTTTCCCTTTCAGATGTTCAGTAAGAAAACACACGCATACACACAAATATTATCCCATAGCAACCATGCAAAAACTAGTCTTTTGAGGAGAAGCTCATTTAAAAACGCTTGTACTTTTTTGCTGTATTAAAAAAAAGTATGTTTCATCTTATAATGGACAGTTACCCCCACTAAACTAAAGAGGCAAAATACACTAATTTTACTATCTTCTAGTAAAAATCATTCAGGAAGACATGAATATTTGTGTTGCAACTTATTTGATTAAGTGCTTTAAAAGTTGTTCTGGTACCCCAGTTGTAATTAACCAGTACTCCCTCAATGAGTTCTAATTAAAGACACTTTATGAGTAGCCATGTGGGACTACAAGTTAAGAATACATGCCTCTTTTCTGATGGGTTGACTCATCTTAATAAAAGCAGTCATACCAAGTATAAACATACCGGTAATCCAGGAAGTCCAATTCCTCCTTTCTCACCCGGCATACCTGGGTCTCCCATGTCTCCCTTTGAGCCTTTGAAGCCCTACACACATAGATATGGTTTTATGTTAGAATCCATCATATTGATCCCAAGTTGCAGGTAAAATCATATTCCAGATTAATTTTGCCAATAGTGTGTCCTTGGCTGAAATGAGAGTCCCTGGGTTGTACACATTGTTAAAGTGCTCATCTGCTAACTGGAACTCTGGATGATTGAGCCCACCCACCGGTACTCAGAAGAAAGGCTTGTTCACTATTTATGAAAGCAGGTAAGCAAGCAAGCAAAGAAAACCAACCACTGAAAGCCCTGTGAACCAGTGCTCTACGCTGACACACGCAGGAGTCGCTATGACTTCGACAGTCTACTGGACAGCAACCGGCTCAGGTTGAAGAGTTTTCATTTGAAGGTACAGTTATTTCTTATAGCAATATTTTACACAGAATCTACACCCATGCTTACCTCGTTTAATGGGTCATCTGCCCCTGGCCCCAGGCTGCAGAAACTTGTTTATCCATTTCACATTAAAAATGATTTAAGGGGAAAAAAGTGTCTATTCTTCTTAACTAGACCTGTTTCATAGCACTTAGTAATTCCGCTTGGATGGATAGAGCTAAGGAATCCATCAGACCCTGGTTGGTGTTAGAAATCTAATGATTGAGAGCAACAGGACAGCCAACCCACTTGACTGAATGTCAGACGATCTCCCACAGCGCTACTTCCCCTCTCGCAGAGACTGTGTGCTGGGGGCATAGTGTTTCCCGTTATGCATGGCATTCATAATGACTAACATGGGCCAAGTCAGTCAGTCAGTCACTTTTTAAGATTCTCATGTAATCGTGGATTAATATAGCAAGTTATGCAACATACCTTCCTTTAAAAAAAATCAGCTTTTAATTTTATATGACATTATGCAATTTCAACAGAATACTTGTATTGTAAAAACACTACTTCTAAGCTTAATTTTCTTATGTAACACTTTAAAAAACAGCAACTGTTTTATTGACACTTCATTCACACATCATGCAATTCAATCACTCAATCACATCAAGAAGAGTTTACAATCATTAACACCATTAGTTTTAGAATATTGTCTTCCTTGGATTCACTGTTACTCATAGAATTCCTGTTTTTTAATTGTGGAAAAGTCATACACAATAAAACATAGTCCAATTCAACAACTTCAACATGTATAACTCAGGGCCATTGATTATAATTCTTCGTGTTGCACAACTATTATTGATATCTTTTTCCAAATTATTCCACCACCATTAACATAAACTCAATGCCCCCTAAGCACAAACCCCTCCTTCTCTCATTGCAACCATAGGTCAAGTTTGCTTCCTTTATTTTTTGCTTTTAACACTTTTTCTTGAGGGGTGAAATGTATCCTGCCTCACTCAAAAAAATCCCCTGTATTTCATATGATTGGCTTTACTTTAGCCATATTTTGGGTAAATACTGGCAGCCCACCCCACTCTACATCATGATGCCAAACCTAATCCTTTTAATCAGGTCCTGAATTTTGAGTTAGGCTCATTTTCCCTTGGTCAGATTCTTTATGGTAGGAGTCAGCAAACTAGGGTCCATGGGCCAGCCCCTGACTGCTTTTGTATTGGCCTAAGTGTCTTTTACACTTGAACAGAGATGTTTAAAATTAAAAGGTGACAGAGACCATTTATGACCGGAAAAGCATAAAACGTTTACTCGTTGCTCCCCGGAGAAGGCCATCATGCTTGATGAAGTAGAGGGACAGCAAAACAGAGAACGGCCCTCAAGCAGGTGGACAGACGGACAGTGGCTGCCACGACGGGCTCAGGCACTGGAACCACTGTGAGCACGGCGCAGGACGGAGCAGCGTGCTTTGTTGTACACAGGGCTGCTATGGCACCTAACAACACCACCAACAACACCTAGTCTTTTAGAGAAAAATTACCGACCCCGGTTTTAGGAGACGTCCTTCAAGAAACTGCCACACTCCACTAATCAACAGGTATCCAGCTGCCTGTCTTTTTTTTTTAAATCATTCTACTGGGGCTCGTACAACTCTTACCACAATCCATCCATCCATCCATTGTATGTCAAGCACATTTGTACATGTGTTACCACCAACATTCTCAAAACATTTGCTTTCTACTTGAGTCCTTGGTATCAGCTCCTCATTTCCCCCCTCCTTCCCTGTTCCCCACTCCCTCACGAACCCTTAATAAATTATTATTATTTTGACATCTTTTAAAAAAATCATTTTATTAGGGGCTCATACAGCTCTTATCACAATCTATACATACAATTGTGTAAAGCACATTTGTACATTCACTGCCCTCATCATTCTCAAAACATTTGCTCTCCACTTAAGCCCCTGGCATCAGCTCATTTCTCCCCTCCCTCCCCGCTCCTCCCCCTCATGAACCCTTGATAATTTATAAATGATTATTTTGTTGTATCTTACACTGTCTGACATCTCCCTTCACCCAATTTTCTGTTGTCCGTCCCCCAGGGAGGTTATATGTAGATCCTTGTAATAGGTTCGCCCTTTCCACCCCACCCTCCCTCCACCATCCCAGTATTGCCACTCACACCACTGGTCCAGAAGGGAACATTCACCCTGGATTCCCTGTGTTTCCAGTTTCTATATGTACCAGTGTACATTCTCTGGTCCAGCCAGGTTTGTAAGGTAGAATTGGAGTCATGATAGTGGGTGGGGAGAAAGCATTTAGGAATTAGAGGAAAGTTGTATATTTCATCGTTGCTACACTGCACCTGACTGGCTCGTCTCCTCCCCATGACCCTCCAGAAGGAAATGTCCAATTGCCTACCGATGGGCTTTGGGTTTCCACTCCGCACTCCCCTCATTCACAATGTTATGATTTTTTGTTCTGATGATGCCTGATACCTGATCCTTTTGACACCTCGCGATCACACAGGCTGGTGTGCTTCTTCCATCTGGGCTTTGTTGGCTGTGTCTTTTCTAAGGAACTAAAATTTTTGGTGGAATTTTTATTTGTTGTAGCAACATGACATGAAATTTTGTGAAAACTATGAACTATGGACCTGGTTTTCATCTTGTATTATTTGTACTCATGGACAATTTATTGGTAATGATTTTATGGGGTATTAAAACTCTGAGAGGAGCTACTGGTAGATAAGGAATATGGAAAACAAAGCTAAAACATCAATTAGCTCACATCTCTCTGTGAGTGTCTAATCTTAAATCAATTGTTTATCCAATTGACGTGAAGGAACATTGACAAATTGGAGGCCCCAAACCCACCATTAAGATAATTGGGCAGTCCCTCAGCGTAGGGCCACATGGAAGGGATGATAAATTTAGGGAGTGGTAAAGTACTTACGATGTACATAACTATACCTTAGTTCTTTAATTAACCCCCCACCCCTTACTATTAGGGACTTTGTTTAACCTCATTAATCGTGTTAGACCTGAATATGTTCATTTTTATAATTAAGAGTGTTCAATGATAGTTAACCCTTCAGAAACAGTAAAGGGAGTAATGATTCCCTGAGGGTATGGGAAGAGAGGGGGAGGAAGAGGGGAAGGGGAAGCTGATAGCAATGATGATTGTATATCCCCACTCTAGGGGAATGAATAATAGGATTGCAAGTGAATGGATACTTTGGATGGTGTAAAACACAGCAAATAATAATAATTTATAATATAATAATAAGGATTATTATATTATAATAGGGTAGGGGAGGGAGGGGATAAAGGGAGGCTGATATCAAAGAGTTCAAGAAGAAAGAAAATGTTTTGAAACTGATGGTGATAGCAATTATAAAATTATGCTTGATCTAACTGAATTATGGATTGGTATAATATCTGTAGGAGCTCCCCCAAAACTTATTAATAACAAAATCAATTGCTTCTTGGAGTTAATGTCATTAAGGTCTAGAATATATGCTGGTGAAAAAAAGAGGTGATCATAAATCAATACTCATATTATTGGCTCCAAACCTACAATAAAATGAATAATGCTGCCTTTGCTGATTCGGCATTTCGTTGAAAATTACCTGCTCTCCATCAACACCTGGGATTCCCGGAGATCCTGGTTCTCCCTGTTAAGATAAAAAAGGAATGGCTCGCCTTCATTTATGTTGATGG